CTTCTGGTGGAACCGACCTTCGAATCTCTTCACCCAACACTATCACTCGAAATGGAAGTAAGCTCAACAAATATACAGAAAGAATTCATATGCGGGAATAATTCTTAATTTTCTCTCTCACCATAACTGCAGACTGAATATCGGAATACAGAGAAGATTGATTATCAGAAGCTTGCGACTAACGGACAGAGTTCTAGAACAAGGACTTGGATGGGTATCTCAGAGAATGTAGGGGTTATAAAGGGCAGATTAAACTTAAATTCAATGAAAATAAGATCATGAATCAGGATGACCAAGAGTGTATATGCCTGTGTTCCTGTGAACTGAGCCAAAATTGCGGCCGTTACTAAGGAAATAGAATGTCATGGTGATAAAAAAGAAGAAGACAACACTTTTCACCAATCTGCAGACACAAGACGAAGAGACTGGAAAACTGGATTGCTCTGGAGTTTATCGCATCAAATGCGGCAACTGTGAGCAGAACTATATCGGTGAAACAGGAAGAAGAACATATATAAGCAAAGATCCGAAATAGTGGAACACATTGCACGAACGGGAACCGAAATCGACTGGAAATCAACAGAAGGGCTGGCTACATATGGTGAAAATACGAGAAAACACAAGATCCGAGAGTCCATCGGTATACTGGCCGAGAGAGATTTAATGAACAGGAGACTTAAAAAGGCAGGATCAGCGAAAAATTTGCATATTGCCTAAGTAATCTCGGAGAAGACAAGGCAACAGTAAGATCAGGAAAAAGAAGACGACTTAATCAAGATAACATCTTTGATTTTAGGAAAATAAATCGCAAGGAGTCCAGAAAGAAACAATCAGAAGCCAAGAAGAGATGTCTTCAGTGAGCCTAATCAAAAGAAGTCTAACCACAACATTTGTCGGCTAACACACACGAGACTATGACATAGGAAGTGATAGACTTGGTATTATGGATAGAAACGTGATAGACTCGGTGGAGAGTAGACGTGTTTGATCATAGACGTGAACCAGGAAACAAGTCTATTTTTAGTCAACTAGCTTTAGCCTCCATCGCATCTCTCCTGTTTCTATCCGTAATACAAAGTCTATCACTTGCTATGACCTAGTCTCTTGTGTGTCAAACAACAAACGTTGTGGTTCAACATTGAAAATAATCAAATCAAGCAGTACCACAACATTTGTGGGTTGGCCCACAAGAGACTAGGGCATAGCAAATCATAGACTTGGTTGTGTGTAACAAAGTTTATTCAAATTCCAGACTATAAAAACAAATAAACAGGACTATAGCTCTGAGTTAAAACAAAATTATGTCTAATGAAGACTACAATAATTAGAAATTTGACAAGAAAAAAAATAATTCAATCACATACTACAACAGATAATATTGGGTTCATACTACTGGACGAACCTCAGGCTTAAGCGGCAAGTGCGCCTCCAGCAAGCAGCAAAGATAGGCTTTTCCGCATGTGAAAAATGCCTCTTTTGCTTGGTATGGCTTGATCATAGGGTCCCCATCTAGTGAGGATCTAACGATATCACTGACTGAGGTGGGATTATCACATTGAGCTTCCTCATCAGCATTCCCCATCACGGTCTTCGACAGTCTGTGACGCTGTCGTTCATTCTCGAACTGAAACCAAGGCCGCCGAATCGCCAAAGGGCAGAGTTCTGTGGGCAGAAAGGAGATGCGAAACGACAGATGACACTTGCGACCAGGCATCAGTCGACGAGTCGTCTTTCTAGCATCAGCCATACGACTCGCCACAAGATATGAGAGTGGTGCCGACTGGTTGATATCTGCTGTGTCGAACGTGCCCGTGTTAACATTATCAGGCAAATCTGAGTTGGAACGAATATGGTCAATTGAATCTTCTTCAACAGTATCAATAGCATAATCTAGGAGGAGCGTCAGACCGAGATAAAGAGGCGGTCCGTGTGAGTCGGTTTGACGCGGATAGAGAGTATGCTGCTCTTGATGCCAGTTAGAAAGACCAGCTTCAAGACCAAAGAAAGCTTTACTAGACTGAGAAAGTCGCCGATTTTTCCCACTTGGTTGAGCAATATGTCCAGATTTGGCCGGAATATGGCTCGAAAAATCAGGATCTAAAGGGAGTTAAAGGGGAAGGAGGAAATAGTGTGATAATTGCTGTAGAGAATGATAGAATATGGGCTGGCTGTCAATGAGAAATCGTGAAAAAGTATCTCAAAATCATAACCTCTATCCAAAAACCACCGAGGACAATTAAATATACATACAGCTTAATGCGGATTTCACTTCTGAAGTGTTCTTTATCACATGATCAAAAAAAGGAACCATTGAATTTGGCATTAACTAAATTTGGTTATAAAGTGGTCCGCCCGCGTTTTTACAACTTAGTCTGGTTGCCAGGGTGACCTAATTGTAAGCACCTTGTCCTAAATTCTCCGCTATAGTATTTATTATTATTACCAGCGTTGGACCGTGGACTCTGTACATTGCCAGACGTTTCGCCGGCATTGTAGATGAGTCTTATCAATCTCAGCACCAGGCTATAACTGATCAGGGACAAGTGAAATCAATCTCTTTGCGCACTTTATGTCGCCTGATTGTGCTTTCCCCCCTCTTTCTGGCGTGGTCCCTCTATATACTCGCTAAACACTTATCCCACTCCCACCCTATTACAACTTCTGACTTGTTTACATTCTACTTCTCAGGAAGTGTGCCCTTTGTGGTGATTTTAGCGTGGCTTCATCACATCGACTGTTCTCCTCGTCCTCCTCCATCTCGATTGGCTAATCTTACTCGGACCTCTTATCTGTATCTCCCTCATATGCACATAGATCCGTTTTTTATCTTTCTAACTGACTGATTTCACTTGGTTACGCTAGAAGCATATGTTATGCCTTAGGTACTACTTCTTAAGCCTTCAGTAGCAGGTAAACTGTCGCCTCACTTTGCGGAGGGTCTTGGCTCTGATTCCCATGCTTGCAGATATCGGGCATTGCCTCCACGACTCATCTTCCTAATACAACCAGTGTAACCTGAGAAAATTATAACCAGGTAGCTCTGGTCGCTAGCTGCACCTCAATTGGAATTCTAGTCAGTTCGGCCATAATATCAAATTTATGTTACGGTTGTCATTATCCGTCTTCCTATTCCTGTGACCGTCAGGCCCCCAAAGTTGTAGTTGTTTCTTCGAGCAGACTACACCCGCTGTGAACGTCGTCGCTTGATTTCTGAAGGTATTTTATCCACTTCTTCCTTGTGATCCCTCTTCCTCTGATAACCGATAGGTCCTTGATCCAGGCGTCTACTTTTTTGCTATCGAAACGTCTGATAATGTACCAAGTCAATGGTGCCATGCTAGGAATCATCCCAACTACCATAGCAGAGAAGTTCGGAAAAGGTGTGTTCAACTAGATCCTCCTGAAAACACGATTAAATTGGGAAAACCAGTTCGGAACAGTTATATATGTCGAAGGGAGGCTGTGACTGAAATAGAGGCCACAACATCTTGGTACTCATATCCACGATTAAATTTGGTTGAGTTAAGAATCAATATGAAAAATAGGAATAGACTTGAATTTTAAGGTAACTGTAAATAATTGCAAAACAGTATTATAGAATGCAATAAAAATAATATTAAATAGCGTATAATATTAAAAACCACAAGTAGAAATTCATAACCAAATCATGCAAACTATCAAAACGGAAGGTGGCAGGATATGGCCTCTGCTAAATTTATATAATTGATGGGTGAAACCACCTCTCATACATTATTTAAGTATCGATTCTTCGTTTATTCGTCGTATCTACTCTAAGGGCCCTTAACTTAGCATATATTTATCATTAATATTGTAAGCATTCCTTCCTTTACATTAGATACGAGGTTGTAAGGAATTTCCTGTTCACCAACTAAAATTCTAAATCCCTTGCTAATGTTGTCAGGGCGACTTAGTTGAACGCACCTTGCCCTAAGTTATTATAATTCCTCGATCCAAACCGTGAATTTGGTACATTCATATGCGTTTCGCCAACAAAATTAGTGAGTCTTGTCATTTTCAGTACCAAGAATTGTCTTCTGCACTGAATACAACCGGAGAAAGAAGAAATTCTTGGTGCCGAGTAGCAAAACTCACTGACGATGCTGACTATGATGCCATAGAAACGTCTTGAAATGTACCAAATAAACGATCTGATGCATGAGACTTCGGATAAGATGCGTTCAACTAAGTCACCCTGACAACACGACCAAGCTGCAAAAACGAGGTCAGACCATTTCTATACACCGAAAAGAGACTCCGACCAAAATAGAGGCTACGATATTTTTGTCTTCATATCTAGGTATAAAAATATATAGCTAAGAGCTTTTATCTATACAGTCGTAGTTGCTACCGAAAGGAATCGTAAAAGCAACAAATTAAGCCATTTCAAGCAATTTGGAGGGTTTCGATGTCTATTTCACGTCATTCTTCCAAAATCCAGATGGATAACATTTAAAATAGGATGTCAGATAATATATAAGATTGTGATAAGATTGATATCAACTTCGAAATGCCTTTCCGAGTTAGAGAATGAAAGGAGATGGATCGAGCTATTTTCAATTTTTTTTTAATTTAAGAAATAAAGCATGGATATTCAGCAAACAGCTTTGCAATGGTATACAATGATCAGTAAGTAAAGAATGCATTTTGTAGTCTCGGCCTTCCACCCAATTCCAACTTCATCATCGTTGTATATGTATTTCATTTAAGAATAAGCTTTCGAGGCTACTAATCAATCAGATGTATGAGATATGTTTACCCTATTTCGTTTGAGGTGATTAAGAACTGGTAGTTGAATTTTCCCAAAATTATATGAGTAAAGCTGACATTTCCATTGAAGTTTACGTATACCTACTTCTAAAAAGGTATAATTATCCAAGGCTGAATATAATTTCAACCTCACCTAGGTTTCATCAGCATCTCCAGCGGGACTCGAACCATGACACTCTAAAATATAATCTCAACATGTTAACCATTAGTCCACATTGCCATGAGTGCCCTCGGGTCACAGGGTAGATGTGCATTTTGTTCGCATATCACTTTCTGTGGTGGGATTATCAATGTAGTAATCGACTGCATTTTTAATTTTTCATTTGTGAGAATAGCCTATTTGAAGCAAGGCTATGTGAAATTCAATGTATGCATCAGTTATACTCATATCAATATGGGAAAATTCAGCTACCAGTCTTACATCACTTTAAACGAAAGAGAATGAATATAACTCGTTTCTGTATTTGTCTGATCACTTTTGCTTAGGCTTTTTAGTCAACTATTTTAGGTTCATGCATAATCCTTCATTTTCTCTCCTACAACGAGTCCTTGGATAAGAAATTATGGTGATCCCTTCTTGTGAAGGCCTCTTAAGTGTCTAGACTGCACACTATTTGCTGTTTTTTTTAAATAATATACTTTATTTATTTTATTTATTTATTTATGTATGTATGCGAGTGTGTACATATATGTGTGTATGAATGAATGAATGCATGTATGTATGTATGTATGTATGCATGTATTTATTCATGTATTTATGTATGCATTTATTTATTTATTTATTTGTTTGTTTGTATGTTTAGTTATTTATTTATTCATGTATTTATTTATTTGTCTGTTTGTTAATTTGTTTATTTATTTATGTGTGTGGGTATTTTACAAAACTTCCTATTTAGTGATAACTTCAAGAAATAGCAAGCTGATGGCTTTGTTTGGCACGTTTTCAGTCAACTAACTTTGACCTAAATTATCCTCAGCATACTGGTTAATATTATGCGAATGGACAAATAACGAGCGTCTGGTTAAACCAACAAACATTAGTTAATAGTCCCCTCTAAGCCAAAAGTCTAGCTGTCTTCACTCAATAATTTTAAGACAGCCAAATCGAATTACTCGTCTAAGGTACAAAAGATCCCCCCCCTAGTTTCTCAAAGGTGAAAGAAAACTGTCTAAAAATATGAGTCTTCAACCAAAGTCTAATCCGCGACCGAATGAATTCATAAAGATAAGTATAAATGTGACAAGTGTGAATCCTAGCCATTAATCAGGAA